ACCTTGATACAGGAATGAGGCATCGCGCAGAGGGCTCGCATTCTTTGTTGACACCATCACCTCCCCAAGGATGGTGTGGGGCGACTCGAAGAAGATCCGCACTGTGGTCGCTAACCTGACGGCGAACGCAGTCAAGTACACCGAAGTCGGCAGGATCACTGTCCTATGTCGCTCGTTCAACGAGCCAGAGGGCCTGCGCGACGACGGGCAGGTGGCCGTGGAGATCGTTATCGAGGACACGGGGCGCGGTATCCCGGCTGACAAGCTGAGCAGCATCTTCCGCCAATTCGAAAACACCGTCAACGACTCGGCCGAGTCTGTTCCTGGCGTTGGTCTTGGTCTCGCCGTCGTCGCCCGCATCGTCGAGCAGCTGGGCGGTCAACTGCGCGTGGACTCGGAGCTCGGCAGGGGGTCGCGGTTCTCGTTCCTTATGCCGTTCGTTCGATATGAGCCCGGGCGAACTTACGAGCAGTCGCGTGGGGCCATCGCTGAACATCTCTCTTCCGTTGAATCTGCTTCATCCAGTTCGGTTGACGCCCCGTCCACCCGCTCGTCTGGGTCGTACCGGTCACGTTCAGGTGCGAGCGAGCTCGAAAGCCTGGTACAGGCTTTGGGTACCCCAGTTACCAGGGCACCTCCCTCGCGACCCTCGAGTGCTGCTAAAAGCAAGGGCAAGGAGCGCGCAGAGGGCGAGCGATCCGAGGGCCCGGGGAACGGCGAGTTCCCCGTCGCTGGGAGCTACTTTCCTGTCCGCAGTATCAAGGTGGACGAGACGACTGTCGAGCCGCGCAGCCGAATGGGGAGGAGTCGAGAGTCTCGTGTTGGGGGAATGCACGGTATCCGGTTGCCCATGCGCCGGAAGCGAGCGGTCGCTCCCGCCCAGAACAAGCTGCGCGTCCTCGTTGTCGACGTAAGTGCACGGGTGGCGGCATATCGTCCTCGCGCTTATCATACCTCCAGGACGATCCAATCAACCGGAAGCTCCTTGCAACGCGTCTAGGTCGAGACGGACACACTGTATCACAGTGCGCTGACGGCGTTGAGGCTGTCGATCTTGTCCAGACTGGCGACAGAGGCTTCGACTGTGTCCTTATGGACATTCAGTGCGTGCTAGCATTGTCCGTTCGCATGTTACTGATTGGTGCCTTCAGGATGCCAATGCTCAACGGCTTCGACGCGACTAAACGAATACGCGAAATAGAACAGGAAGCGCCAATGCTCTCGAGTGAAGACCTTCGCCTGTCACTTGCGCTCAACGGTCGTATACCTATCTTCGCCGTATCTGCATCTCTGCTCGAGCGACAGCGCGACGAGATGATGGAGTACGGCATGGACGGCTGGATCTTGAAGCCCATCGACTACAAGCGCATGAATGTCATTTTGCGCGGCATCCTCGACATCGTTCAGCGCAACTCGGACGTGTACACGCCAGGCTGCAACTGGGAAGCCGGCGGCTGGTTGTTGCAACCTCCGAGTCCTGCAAGCGAGCTCAGCGTCAGCGCGCACAGCAGTCAAGTTGGCGAACCGACTTCACCCCCTTCGACGCAACCGCAAGTAGGAACGTCGACCGCCGAGGACGTCGCGGCACAAACAACATCATAAACCTCATGCGCCCGTACACGAACTCGCATACGACATCGTATCATCATATTCAACACGCACCCATCCACGTTTTTGCTATCCTTATAAGCGACACCACTCGCACTGCTCCCTCCGCATCCTTCTTGGCACTCAAACACGGCAGCGTCCAGACACCACCCACCCCCTCCTCCTCCTCCCCCGCTCAATACCTTATAACTCGTTCAATACGCCCCGCCCTTTATTTAGTGCACTCTGACGCATACCGTGACTTTGCATGGTCTCTACAAGCTGTCTGTCTATCCTGTCTCTAGCACTACTCCAGGTCTTTCCGCTGTATTGTAAACCTCATAACTTCCATAGTCCCTGTGTTTCTCTATTTCTTCCCTCCAGAATGTAACGGTGATCTTTTTGGATGTTGCGGCGGTGAAAGTTAGGCTTGGCGACCATGTTCGGAACGATTCTCCGCCATCCGTCCCTTGTTCCAGACTCGCTACCTTGGTCTCTCCAGCACACTCTTTACGCCCTACGACTCATAATACCATGCTCGCAAAACTTCCTGTCGTGCTCGCCGCCGTCGTCGTTCCGGCGCTTGGCGCGGTCTATACTGTCACTGTCGGCCTCGACGAGACTACCGGCGACCAGGGCATTGGCTTCGACCCGTCGAGCGTGCGCCCGCAGATTGGCGACACTATTACATTCACGTTCGCCATGAACGAGTGGGTCCATGACCCCAAGACCGTTCAGCACACAGCGACCCGTGCGTTCACCACGTGGAAGAGGCTCTGCCAGCCGTGTTGACCTCGCTGTGCACCAGAATCTACATTCGAGAACCCGTGCACCGCGCTGTCGGGCGGCTTTGACACTGGCGTTCAGGATACTGGTTCCGTCAAGACGAATACCGGCGCCTCTAAGGATTACCAGGTTCGTTTCGGCAGCCTTGCCTTGCGGCGGAAGTCATTGACGTTTTGCGTCGACAGGTGACAAGCCTGGACCCTGTCTGGTACAAATGATCCATCTCTGCAGCTGTTTACTCTGCTAATTGGGTCTACACTAGGTTCTTCTCGTCTGTGGGGAGCGACTGCAAGTCCGGCATGGTCTTCGCCATCAACCCGCCCGTGTCCGGCGACCAGTCGTACGCCGCCTTCCATGACCGCGCACTCGCCTCTACCGGAACGCAGCCTGCATCGTCTTCGCCCTCCAGCGACTCGGCGACCACTTCGACGACGGCCAGTGATGGGACTCCGGAACCTACGCAGACGCAAGGCGGCGGTGCTGCGGGACGCGCGAGCATCGCTTCTGGTGTCTTCGGCCTTGCCTTCGTCAGCGCCATATTCTTCTGGCTTTGACGGACATTGGGTGTCTCTTTCTCATGATTGTCTTGTGATACTCTTCGCGTACGTCGACAGACACTACGGGTTTTCGGTAATGGACAATATTTGCCCCGCGATTTCCAGTGACATTGGTACTCTACGCACATTCTGTAGCGCTTTGCACATACCATGGCGGTCTACACACCTTGTGTCCAATGCATCGACGATCCGCGCCGCTCGTGGCACGTGTTATAAGCCACCTTCAGAGCATAACATGCCTAGCGTTACCTTGTACTCTTCTCGCAAACGCTGTCTCGGCCTCACTTGGCGCGTGCGCTTTGCGCAGCTACGTGGGCGCCTCAAGCTTCGTTCCAATACTGAGGCCTCAGTATTGGAACGAAGTACTGAGGGTCAACAAACAGGAGGCAGCAACTGTGATCCTTGGAGGAGGACTATACTGCTGGTGTAAGTATCATGAGGGCATCGCGATGTGGGTAGGGCATGCGTAGCTCGTATCGGTGTCTCCATCGACCGCGGACAACTTCTCCAGGCGTCTCATTGCCGCAGTACGAGCATAGACAAGGGAGGATTATCCGGCAGGACTCGGACTCGTTGACTAGTGCCTTACTCGACACCAATAAGAAGCTTTACAGGATTGGCGTACTGTACCAGTTCGGCCGCCGTGATATTGATGGGTTCGACCTGCGACGTGCGCTACGCACTGGCGCCTCGAGATCTGCTTTCAAAGTTTCAGCCGTCAGGTGGTCTACCTCCAAGGTGACTCGTCAGTAGTTTATCAGGCAATTGAGTCTGCCCTACAACCGGAATACTGAGGGTCACTCCAAGCCCAGAATCAACATACCTTCGAGAACAGCACTCTCCTGTACCCGTGTCACAGTGTGGCTCGTCTGGCACTCCTCGTGATCCCGAGGTGACAGGACTTTGCGCCTACCGGTCGCGCCCGTCATGCGTCGTTCCCACGGTGCATTCCCTTTTGCAGCGTCCAAACAGGATGGATGTCGTCCACTGCCGCCGTGTGCGACAAACTGGAACATGTGCGTGTGTCTATTGAGCCATTGCCGTAACTGAATAGCTAGCAGCGCCTAGGTTGAAGCAACTTCTGACGCCGAACATCCAGCGCGACAAGTCGAGTCCGCCGAAATTAGAGCGCTGGCTCTGGTATATAATGCGTCCGCTGGTCATCTCAATTCTCCAGCAACAGACAACTGTAGCAGCACCTACCTCTCAGCCGACATGCAGTTCTCAGGCCTCTTCGTCCTCGTCGCAGTTGCGCTCGTCCCGAGCGTTCTCGCACAGAACTTCGGCGCCTCGTGCAACAACATCCATCTCACTGGCACTGGTCCGAGCGTATCTGTGCAGGCTACCTGCTTCCTTCCGAACGGCACGACCAAGTCGTCTACGCTCGGACTTAGCAGCTGCCTCACTAACAGGTTTGTTCACATGCCTAGAGCATCGTCTCAAATGTTGACCTTGTACACATTACAGCGGCGGCAGCCTTAGATGCGCACGCGGGTACGTACTAACGCAGCCTACAGCCAACTGCCTGTAATCTGACAACATGAACCTTCGTAGTGGCAACGCGATGCAGAGCTGCAGCGGGTGTACGCTCAGCGGTACTAGCCTGCGCTGCAACTGCGGCGACGGCAAAGGGGGAAACCCTAGCACTACTATTGATCTCAGTGAGCACAAAGTTCTTCGCGCGATGTGCCTAAAAGACGGTGACGACACTGACGATGCGTCTGAAGACCAGTGCATCGCGAATAACAACGGCAACCTCGGGTGCTGAGTGCTCATTGGGAGATTTTTTGGGAGACGATACGGCTACTCAGGAGGTGGACATCACATTTGGAACGCTTATGCTTGAGCTCTGTAGTGTACAGCCCAGATCAAACATGCTTCACCGAAATTCAGATCGCCCAGCGGGACTGCGTCAGGTCTGATGATTACTATGGGTATTAAATGGGCGGTGATGAGTAGCCAGATACCATGCAATTGCCTTGACAGACCCAGAGCAGCTGGAAGTCTTAGATCCTCCTCAGCCCTTTGATTAATTATATATACTGAGCTAAATTCCGTTCATACCATCCATCCGGCGTGGTCTAGTGGCTAGGATAGTTGTCTCTCATTGCTCGGCAATGCCGAATAGGGGCACAATTGGCCGGGGTTCGATTCCCCGCACCGGAATAGCTTTTGCCATTGAGTTGAATGGCCTCTGTTTTTGCGGTTTGAAGATGCCGGTACCTTAATGTCGTTTTGCGAGGTCACGGGATATCCCGGCATGTGCCCCACATTTCAGCTTCAATGAAGATTCAAGACCTACTTAGGCCCGCCTCTCGCACTCAGAGGTATTTCCAACCCTTCCGTTGGGATTGCTGATCCTTCCTACAAGCAACTACTTTGCTCGTCTTCCACTACATACACTACGAGTGTATTCCTGTGCGGGGAATTGAACCTCGGCTATTTGAGGGTCTATTGAGGTACGAATCGCCGAATCTTTTGGCCCAGGGCGTAAATGCAGTCAACGTGGACACAGAATTGATCAAAGGTATCTCGTCTCCGATAGTAGATACATCATAGCACTCGTTGCCGAACGTACGGCACACAGTTGAGTCTATGCTTACCCCAATCCTTCAATTGACTGTGGACGAAGCGATTAGTTTGATGGTTACATAGATACGAACGCGGATGCATACCATTGAGGTTCACAATACCACTCGGAACGACACCGTCCGCAGCGACGCACCAAGATCGTCCGGAGTTTGCACGAAGCGCACTCGTGAATATCGAGAGGCCGTAACGTCGGATGCACAAACGACTCGAGAACCTTGCGCGGCATTTCAGCCCAATCCAACGGTGGGTCGCCATCTAGGGGAGCAAAAACGCGACGTTGCCAGTGTAATAGTTTCTTCTTCGAGAAAGGCCGCTCGAGAGGCGGGTCGAAGTCAGCCTCAAAGTCGTCCTCCGTTTCTTCGTCGTGTGTAGGAGCAGAAGCGCGTCGTAATGGCTCACGCCACTTCTCCGTTGCCGCGGGAAGACGATTCAAGATCATTTCGCCAAGTCCTGATGTGGGTTTACTAGGTATACTCTGTAACCCGAGCACGAACCTCCAATCTCATCTCGGCATGCACCGCCCCAGATCTGTTCGTTGAGCTTAACGGCCGAACGCCATTCTTCGGTTACTTCCTGTTCTTAGGTAAGATCTGCTTGACGTGAGGAAAGGCAAGGCGCACCTTGAGCTCGGGAGTAAGCGTGTCAGGTTCATCTGGTCCCCAGATGAACAACTGCAACGAGATGTAGATCTCCAAGACGCTGCAGCGCTCTCGCGCGTCCGGTGGAGCAATGTTCAAGTACTCGACACACAGATCCCTGGTCGCATAGGTATCCCGAACGCCGTCGGCCCAGACGCCGCCGTCGCCCATGAGCATACCTTCAGCACCGATAACCAATTGAAAGTACTTGGTTATGATACTCTGCGCCAGAGCATGATGGCGCGCAGGATGACCCGATGAGTAAAAGTCGCGTATACGGGACATTTCGAGCATAGGCGCTTCCTTGATCATCGCCATCGTGTACGCGAGGAACGGTTCGCCGCTCTTTCGCTCCCCAATGTCCAACGCTATCGGTATGACCGGTGCGCGGTCTCGAGAAATTATCGTGTGCGCCAGTGAGAAGACGTCCGCAACGTCGAGCGCGGTGCGATGACCGAGTAGTGTGTGTTCGGGGATAACAGCGAGAAGCTCCTCCCTCGATAATGCGCGAACCGAAGCCGCGCAGTGGTGTAGAATATCGACCCAGGTGTCGCAATCGACTCCGTAATAACGAGGTTTACGCTTTCCGATACCCGTTCGACGAGTGAAGAAGTCGTCAAAGCGTACACAGCGAGGATCTTCGGTTATGACGCAGAACAGTCGGAGCGCTAGGGATCGCACGTCGCGTTTAATCGTGAAGCCAATAAACGCGTCGCAGAAGCCTTCGATACACCGCGCGAGACGGACGCTATCGCACGATTCCCAGCCGTATCTCTCCATCCTAGCTCGAAGGCCTGCTGGGAGTGCTGCTTGACGCTCTCGAGCGCCGAGCAGGTGGCCCGGGCGCCAGGGCCGATCCGACATATCTTCCACCACGGCGTATGTCAGCCAACGAAGGGCTAATCGACGCGCTCGAGGATAGCCAAATCGAAAGAGGCCGACAAAAAACTCGATGACCACCTCGTCGTGCTGCACCACTCGGAGGGAAGACGAAGCGACACCGGTTTCCTCTTTTAGCTTCGAGTTTGTTTGGAGAGCAAGAGTGATAATCGTCAAGGAGCGCATGACGGTCTTCACTAAAGCATGACTCGGGTGGTGCGTCCTCGGAAGCCAGCGCACGAGGATGCACATAAACTTGCGCGCGTGGTCTTCCGTCGGGTCGCAATAGATGGATTCTGCCAATTTCTCGATGACGCGCAAGCACAATTCGTGCACGAGATTATCGGCTGGCGTGTGTGCGAGGGTGTCGAGTAAAGTGGGCAATACGCCATCGACGATCTTCCAGCACAAGTCCTCCATATACGAATAGAGGATGATAGTGACGAGATGCAGTCCCGCAACGATGCAGCAGTCGCATCTTTTCCGCTCGATAGCAGAAGCAATAACGGAGCACTTGAGCCAGTCGTCGAAAATATTGCAGCGATAGCCTTCGTCGACGCAAAGCCGGGCCCAGATGATCATGAGAGCCGCAACGCCATGGTCGTCGTCCTTCGACACGTCGAAGACTTGTACGAGGGAATAAAGATTGTACTCTTCGCCTTTGTTGATAAATTTCAGGAGCATTCGTTTCCTCGTGAGGTCTAGTTGCGGTGATTTGAGCATGAATTTTTATACGCGGTAAAATCTTTTGACTTGCCTGGTAGACGCATTGTCATACAACTCAGCGTGACGGCACATGGCAGGTTCCTCGATGGCTCGTAGGTGCAGCGCATGTGGATGATCAGCGTTACGATGTACGCGGGGAAAGGCAAATGAAGAGTCGGAGTTGACACGCCTTCCGGCACCTGCACGATCCCAAGATATATCTACTTGGCTTCAGCGTCGTTGTACTGGTATGGTCTTCGTCGAAGCCAGCGAGGTTTCGTAATGCACCTTGAAGTTTAGGATCTCTTGGTCGTTCTGACTATAGCAGGAGCGAATCTTGCTGTTTGCAGTGGGCACCGTCTGTCCGAAGGGGTGTTACGAGGATGCGACTCATGTATGATACTAATTATCTGGGTCAAAGTTGAAGTACGGACTGACATCAACTTGCCACCACAAAGGAACAGTCGGACTGGGCGTAGTCTCGAACAGGTTGTCGCGATTCCGGCCTTCGCTAGGAGTACTAGAGGAGTCTGAGTCACTCGAGTAGTCATCCTCTCCCCGCTCCTCCGAGTCCCACGCCCATGCAGTTCCAACGCCATACAACTCGGACGTGTCTAGGCGCACGTGCCGTAAAGTTGCAACGTCTCCGGCGAGAGACCGGGCTTGCACCAGCTTCTCCATCCCGACACGAGATACGGAGTACTTGTGCCCATACGTAGCGACGGCGTTCCCGATGCACAGATGTGTGAGACGCGGACAAATCCAACCACCGCGACGCCTTGGCTCGGAGAGCGCGTCGGACAATTTGTCGGACGTCTTAACGTCCAACATAACGAGTCCCTCCAAGAGCGGTAGATGACAGAGCGCCTTGTGCAATTCGACGTCGCTCAGTGAAATCCCCTGCAGTCGAAGCTCTCGCAGCGGGGGACTGAGCTTGAATACAGAGTCCAACATCGACGCAGCCTCCTTCTTGGTCATGTCGATGATATGCGTGTGGCTTAGACGAAGGGCGAGTCGTTCCAATTTCGGTACGGTGATGGATCGCATGAAAGATGGGCCAGCACGTATGGTGTCGAGGTCGAGGTAAAGCACGCGTAAACCTGCAAGTTCGACGGGACGACTAGGGAGAGCTCCCAAGGTAGGTAGAGAGGTAATTCGGAGAGATTGGAGTAGCGAATAACGGCCCTCGGTGCGTAGTTCGTTAAGAATACTGGGATCCGCTTGCACGATACGCAAATCACGCAGTTGCCCTCTTACGGCGTCCGGTAGATGGTCCAAATCAAAGTGCAATGCTACACTCGATAGACGCGGTAAGTGTGTCCATAGTATAGTACCACGGCTAGCGGCGTCCAGCCGTCCCACATACGAATCCACACCGAGATGCTCGAGCAGAGGCATCGGTTGTGCAAGAGCCTTCTTGACGAGTGCAACATCGGCCCTCGGAACCTCGGTGGAGATCGTGAGACTGCGCAGTCTCGACGCGTTGGCGTACACGATGTCGAAAATCTCGTTCTCCTTGGCTGCGTCTCGCATTCTGAACAATTCGAAAATAGCGTCTGCAGGACAAGTTCCACTTCGCAAAAGCCACAGACGAACGTCGCGCAGAGTTGATAGGGCACTACGAGCTACGTCTGGCTCGACACTCCCGAGGAACGGATGAATAAATGTGATTTTGGTCCAGGCCCGCGGTGTACGAAGTGTGGCGTCCCGCCAAGTTCTGCACAACGACGAGAGCGTGCGCAAAGCATGCACGCTTGTGGCATGGTCGGACGCAGAGGCGACAACGATCTCGGCGAGGACGTCGAATGGAAGACGGCGAACGGGTGCGATGAAAGACTCCTTCTGCGCGATGTCGTCCCGAATAAGAGCTATTTTCTCAGCTCGTGACTGGATTTCACGCTCGAATTCCTGGATTTCGAGCTCGACAGCACGTATCTCTTCGTGTCGAGCAGTGATGAGGGCGCGCGTAGTTTGGGTCTCGACCGCGGTCGGAAGAGGTAAGTAGGACATGGTTCGAGGCCAAGAAGCGTGGCGGAGTCAAGAAGTTGAACTGCATCCTCAACGCCGCAACACGCGAGAAATGACGGTCGCATGAATAATCAGTTATATAACTCTGGCGAGGTACTACACTAGATCCCACAATAACGAACATATAAGTCTACTTCCATCCGATACATAAAATAATAGCATCCCCTTCCGAGAAAAGAAAACTGGCTGGCAGATCCTTCCTCCTCACACAATCCCGAGCTGGTGAGCCTCCTCGAACTCCTTCGGGTACAGCTTGGCCGTCGCGGCGGGGAACAAGCTCAAGCGCGCGTACCCGCTACGCACGAGCGGGTCCGGGATGCTCAT